GTATTGTCGTGTTTTGTTTTTTTTTATATGGAAGGTATATGAGTGTTAAAATTATGAAGGAAGGAGATATGATTTTTTTTATGTGGTTATATATTTAAATAAATAATATAAAAATAATAATATAAAAAGGAAAAAAACAATGGAAAGGGGGGGGGGGGGGGGGGGGGACTGGACAAAATACCCAGCAGTGTACCAGTGGGTGCTGTGGGCTATTGAAAGTCCCAATTACAGTGATCATTTTGAAGAAAATGAAGGCTTTTCAATGGTTAGATACTAATTGATTAATGATGAAACTAAGCCTTACTTGGAATGCATTGTGTGTATATTGAGTTCCTTAACCTCAAACAAGCAACTCTCAGCAGCTAATTAAGAAATTTGCAGTTTAGCTTCTCCTTGAAATACCTCAAAACAGAGATTGTTTTGTTTTCCTTCATCTTAGATGCATTAAATACCATAAAAGTTAAGGAAAATGAAGAATAATTGTCAGTGTACAATCTTAGAGCCTGCAATGAAGTGTATTTTAGGACTTGAACAGAATAATGCCTGGTGTTTCATGTAATATATCAAGCGTGAGACGCAGTGTTTCATCACCAGAAGAAACACTGAGAAGAGAGTTGAAAATACGATGCACAGTGGAGTATTTTTGACAAACTTGGAGGTGTTTCATCTGGTGATGGAACACTGTGTTGAACGCTTGATATTACTTCTCAAACAAAATAATTTTAAAAGGGGAAATTAAGGATGCAAAAATGAGCAGTTTTTCATCTGATTTCCAAACACTCATTAAACATCAATTTCCTTTGTATTTTCTTTATGAATTATCATTTTGATTAAACAGCAAATGGCAAAGAGATGATAGGAAGAAACACAGCCCAACAGTAATATGATGATTAGGAAAGGTGCAGGGTGCAAACAGAGCATGCTGTAGCTAGCATATACTAGCCTAAGAGTCATTAAAATTTCTTGACCTGCAAGAATTGAATTCCCCCTGCCTCGCCAAAAAGAAAAAATTGGCCTTCCTATCAGTAGGTTAAGAATAGAATTCACTAGCCTGTAAGCAAAATTCAATACACAGCCCCGGGCTATTACACTTGACTTTCTTTGTGTGCTGAAGGTGGGATTCGGTTGAAAGGACTCATCACGCCTTCTCTCTTCATCTTTTGTTTTGGAAGTCAACATGGTGCTTATGGTTACCTAGACTGATTTCTATTGCTCATGCACCTAAATAACACCCTACATTGCAGGTTATTATTTACATGTTTAAGAAAAGAAAAAAAAATTGAGTTAAAAAACTTAAAAAAAGATTTTTCCCCTGTTGATTGAAGGGGGAAGATTACTTTGCTTTTTGAAATTATTTATTTTTAGTAGCATTTTTGATGGAAGTGGTTTCATTGCATATGACTGTAAATATAACGAGGTAATTTTAAAAATTATTTTTTCACTATTGGGTGCCTTGTTGGTTTGAGAAAAGGGATGTACAACTTCGGTTTCACTTTGTGATCTATTTTTAACGTTAAATGAAATACAAAGGGCAAAATATGTTATATTCTATTTTTCTTGTGAGTTTGACCTGACTCTCCAGCTTCTAGGGCTGATCACCTGAGTTGCTCATTGTGACTTGAGTTAGTGGTGAAAATTGAAGTTACAGTAATGTCACATTAATTTTTAAGTTGGTCAAAATTCATTTCAGTTTCCTCATTGTTCCCTTGTTTTAACCAAGCCTCACTCTTAGATCCAACAAGTGTTAAATAATCGAGTACTTTCTTTCATTTGACCCTCAAAGCTCAAAATAACATTAATATGTAGATTCTCTGCACTTTTCTTAGTGTAAAATAGTTAAAGAAGAGAATAAAGAGAATTTGCCTATACGCCAAAACATTTTATATATTGTTTTCTGATTTTGTTGGTGTTTACGTTATAAAGAGATGCTGGTTAGTTTGACTTCACCTATCCTGTAGTCATGGTGACCGCTGGGGCGCAAGGGACCTATCAACCCTTTCCCTCCATGTGATTTTGTTTCACATTCTCTTTAGGCGTCGCAAAACTTCAACCCTGTCCACTCAGAGATGTTATTCTCCCAACGCTTCTTTTGTCGACCCTTTCTTCTACCTTGTAAAATTGTCTTGGTAAGCCCTGCTGATCTTGATTCATACCCATACCTTGATGTCATCATAGGGCCCGATGGCTTGGTGATGTGGTCTCTGTATGAGATGCCAAGCAGTTTCCTAATTCATCTCATCTCATCTCAGGATGTCCGATATCAACGTCCAACTTTCGCAGGCATACAACTGTACTGAGATAACCAGAGAGCGCATAAGGCTGATCTTTGAGCTTAGAGGGATGTGCTTATCGTTCCAGATGGTCTTCAGTCTCGCTAGTGCTGCTGTTGTCTGTGTAATTCTGGACAGTACTTCAGACTTGGAACCCTGATCTGTGACGACTGCGCCCAGATACTTGAAGCTGTCAACCACGTCCAATTTTTCACCGTTGATTTTATGTTAATGCTGATGTCATTTGCAGCGATTTCACAGCTGCTTCGACCTCTATCCGCAAGATTGGGTGGTTATCAGTGTTGGTTGCCGGTGGGACAATCATCTTTTCAGGGTCACCTTCGACTGTGTGGCTGTACAGTTCTGCGCAGTATTCTGTCCACCTCTTTAGAATTTCTTTGGTTTCGGTAAGGCAAATTCCCGGCTTTGTCCCGTATGGTGTTGGTTTGTCCTCGTTTTATCCTAGTTAGAGTTTTTACTGGCTGATTTGTTTTCCTGCTATTGTTCTTCCTGATGTTATCTTCAATATCTTGACACTGTGCGTCAATCCGATACTCTTGATTTTTTATGCTCTTCTTAATTTCCTGGTTAACTGCTCTGTACTTTTCTGCCCTTCTGCTGTCTCGTGTCTTCCCTTCTTCAGTGCTCTTCGTTCAATATGTCAGTTAATCCTTGTGGGGCCCTGCATTTTTATCTTCTTTAAACGTAGCCGAAAAGACATCATCACTAAATCATGGACGCTTCCTATGTCAGCTCCTGGGAAGGTTCTTGTCTTAGCGGTGTTTATGCTGGTCATGAAGCGCCTCCTAACCATGATATAATCAATCTGGTTATGGTTTCCTCCATTTGGGCTGTGCCATGTCTATCTTCTGGATGCTTCGTGTTTGCCAAGTGTATTCGCCAGCAAATTTGGGGAGGGTGTGGTTGCCGAACATTAACCATTACGCCTGGGATGCTGCAGCAGTATGTAACGAAATTATTCACGTTCTCATCATGAGCGTAGCTCCACCACTATATATACAAACCATACTGGCTTTAGTTTCACTTTGTTTCACTTTGAGATTTAAAGTGTTAGATACATATTAACCACCGTTTGGGCTATGCGAAAAGTGGAGGTGGTGACAGTTGTTGTAGGAGCTTTGTGAGCAATCCCAGGGCACGTTTTGTGAACAGACTTTAGAACGGGAAAAGAGAATTCCGATAAGCTGCGTGGCACTTTAAAAAGACAGTAAGAGAACGTTCAACAAACAGTAATTATGAACAAAAGCGCCGTGTTGTAGTTTCTTTCCAAAAAAAATAAGAAGGAAAGAAAGAAACTCCAGCAGCCGTCGGGACTTTTGTTCCATTGAACATTTTTTATAGTTACTTTATTAGGAACCGCAAGTAAGAATACTTCGGAGAGATCTTGAGATTTGAGAGGTGGCCAGACACTTGCTGGCTGGTGGAATTTCTTGAGCTGTCATTAATAACTGCATTGTCCCCCCTCAATCAACAAATCTTTTCTCATGCCCCCCCCTCCCACAAAAGGTAGATTTTTTTGGTGGCCCCCCCCCTCCACAAAAAAAAACATATTTAATAAAAATAGAACTTACTTAAGCCAGCTATGCATGCCGTACAGTAAACGTAACCATCTTTTTGACGATGTCAAGATATTATAATTTTATTAACACTACAGTTGCAAAATCCAAAAGGAAAGAGGGCGCAATACTACATGAAGATTTTCATAGAGGCTTATTGCGAAAGGCGACAGAATGCCGAAAGTGACGAGTCGTTTAAGAAAAGGTTCACTACCTAGACCTAGGCCGTCCCTGAGGAAATACCGTAAAATTCCGAAAATAAGCCCCTCCATGAGCCCTGCAAACCGGTAACGCAAAAAACCCTCCGTTAAATTGTAATCGCCCCTCCAAATATAAGCCCCCCCCCCTCCCTTCCCGGGGGCTTTTACTTGGAAAATTGCCCTCAAATACAAAGTAAAACAAAACAAAAACGGTATATTTACTCCCAACTAGAAAGGCTAGCTCAATCGATTTTGACACGCAAATTTCCCTTCGTAGATAAGCCCCTCCAAAAAAAAGCCCTTCAAAAAGGGCCTTTAATTTGTAAGCCCAGGGGCTTATTTTCGGAATTTTACGGTATTGGAAGAAAAATCCCATAGCTTTACAGTAAGCCTTGTTTTACAGTTTGCATCGCACTCAGCCAGCTCCTGACTAAGCTAGGGCTTGTTTCAAAGAGAAATATCGGGCTGAAAATTAAAAAAGAAAAGAAAAAACCAAAAGACCAAAGTCGCTTTTGTCATCGACATTTTTATTGTTGTCACTTTTCGCCGTTTTCGGGTAAAATCACGAGGAATGAGTTGCACATTGTGATTGGTTAAAAGCAATCGGAATGCTTCCGACTCACTTTCGATTTTGCCTGCCAATAATGAGAACGAGGCTGTCAAAGACCTCTTTGGAAAGGAAAGGAGATTTTGTCGCCGGAAAAAAAAGCGTCTTCTTATTTTTGGTATAATCCGCAGTCAGTATGCAGGAAGAAGATAGAAAAGCCTTGCGAAGTAACAGAGAGGCATTGTTGAAAGATCTAGAAGCGAAACGAGTCGCATCGCTGCTTTACTCAAGGGAAATCTTTAGCGAAGAAGATAAGGACAGTGTGAATGCTAAGTCGACTCCCGCCGAACAGCGAGAAGAAGTTCTGGACATTTTACCTCGGAAAGGACCTAAAGCCTTCAGTGTGTTCTGTAATGTTTTGCATGAAGTCACTCCACATCTAGAAGCACTACTGCGACCTATTCAAGAAGACGGTAAGGCTGATATGTTGTTTTAAGTGAGAATATTGGTGAAGTCTAACTGTCCTATACTTTCAGGCAGATTTTTTGATGGAATGAATGACTACAGCTCCATCTCAAATGCATAAATAAGCTTACGTGGTCATTTTCTACAAATTTTTCCAGACCTTCTGCAAATGGCGCGATTTTTATTTTTGTATTTGAACTCTCGCGCTGTTTGAACTCGGTTTAATTGGCAGTTGATATTATATGCGTGTCTATATATTGCTATTTCGATTCAATAAGACTTCACGTTAAACTTAAATCCTATTAGCGTGCTATCAAAATATTAGCTGAAAAAGTAAAGGTGTTAGTTATTTGTGCTGACTCAGATCTGGCGTCATCTCCGTTTGAAGATAACTTCCAGAATAAAGAGTTTTCTTGGAAGGAAAGGATGTCTGGAATATTATAATTACCTTTGTCTCAGTTTATGAATCTTGAGAGTATTCCTTTTCCTTGTCAGTCGAAGCCATTATCACGTACGATGCGTGATGTCATTGAAGGTGCAATGTTTTGTAAACATGTGATGAGACAAAGGTAGTTTACTTGCTCAACTCTGTGAGCAGAAATAGTTTTGTTTTCCTTGTTCTGTATGAAAATGCACGTGTTGTAAGATTTTCATGTAATTTCTTTGGTTTTCCTGTCAAACCCAGTTAATATGGACACTGAAGAGGCCATAAAAAGCGTTTGTATTAATAAAGTGTTCGGTTAAATTGTGGAGAAAATGTACAGTCTTTCTTTCCCCAGGGACAAAGCAAACTGTCNTTCTGCAAATGGCGCGATTTTTATTTTTGTATTTGAACTCTCGCGCTGTTTGAACTCGGTTTAATTGGCAGTTGATATTATATGCGTGTCTATATATTGCTATTTCGATTCAATAAGACTTCACGTTAAACTTAAATCCTATTAGCGTGCTATCAAAATATTAGCTGAAAAAGTAAAGGTGTTAGTTATTTGTGCTGACTCAGATCTGGCGTCATCTCCGTTTGAAGATAACTTCCAGAATAAAGAGTTTTCTTGGAAGGAAAGGATGTCTGGAATATTATAATTACCTTTGTCTCAGTTTATGAATCTTGAGAGTATTCCTTTTCCTTGTCAGTCGAAGCCATTATCACGTACGATGCGTGATGTCATTGAAGGTGCAATGTTTTGTAAACATGTGATGAGACAAAGGTAGTTTACTTGCTCAACTCTGTGAGCAGAAATAGTTTTGTTTTCCTTGTTCTGTATGAAAATGCACGTGTTGTAAGATTTTCATGTAATTTCTTTGGTTTTCCTGTCAAACCCAGTTAATATGGACACTGAAGAGGCCATAAAAAGCGTTTGTATTAATAAAGTGTTCGGTTAAATTGTGGAGAAAATGTACAGTCTTTCTTTCCCCAGGGACAAAGCAAACTGTCCGTAATAATGAGATATCCGTATAAACCGGGAGTCCATAATACGGGGTTTGACTGTTTTTTTTTAGCGTAGAAATGCCACTTATCTGGAAGGTGTTGGAGCATCCAATAATAGATTTCGTGTCTGATAAGATATTCCTCAACCTTATCACTTTTTGAATTAAATATATTTTGTGTGAAGTGGAATTAAAGTGTCCTTGACCTAATATATTTTTATGCAGTTCCTTAGTGTCAGATGTGAGAAAAATTAAAAATATCTTTCTTTATTCTTTGTGGTGTACACAATCTAACAAAAAGTCTTCTGTAATACACGTAAATACCTTAGCGTGGAAGTAGACTTCAAAACTCCTGTTGTCAGAGGTGGATATTGATATATTCTAGGATACCTTTGAAATCTTTGTAAAGTAAAGGAAGTTTAAATCATGTTACCTAAACTATGCTCCAGCTCTACAAAACAAACCTCTTTTTCCTTACTGCCTCATGTCTTATTATGGCACTGTTTTTCTCAACAAATAAAGAAAGCCTTGAGAGCAAAGTTTAAAAGACCATATAACAATAATATTTTTCATGTTTAATAGATTTTTTTTAGATTCAAAATTCCTTTTCCAAGGCTAAGGTGCTGCATCCAAGAAAAGACATACCCAATGCGTTAGTGGCACAAACAGGAAACTTTGTATTTGGGTCCAGTGAGGTGCCTAAATGAACAACATCCTTTACTGGAACCCAATATGAAGCTTTGTGTTCTTGAAACTGATACCAATTTTGACTTAATCTGTTTATTTAGACATTTTTAATGTTGTGACATAATACAACATTGTGGCAAAAGTTTATGATGATGAAGGTTGAAGGCAATTTGAACTTTTTCTCCTGCACTAGGCATTTTTACTCATGTGTGTGTTCTCAATAGAACAGGACCTAAGAGTTGCCTGTTGTACTTTGTGTAGTGAGTTACGCATGTATATGAGCCTCTAGATAAAAACTGAATTTGTCAATGATCTTTTTTTTTACCAGATGAAGGTATTGATGGACCAGGCAGTACTGCACCTATTCCTGCATCTGGAGTCCCTTCAGGTATATAATATTTAGCTAGAAAATCAGAAAAGTGTTCAGATAAAAATCTTGCTTGTAAGGGCAAAAGAATTAACCTTTTATTCATTTGGTTATTTTACAAGAGATTAATGAAAGAGCATTGAATTAAATTGGTTAACTATATACAGTGTATAACAATGTCAGCTAGAATCACCATTTGCAATTTGCAATTTGTATAACTGCATGACGTACTCAGTACGTCAAAAATGAGAGAGTATCAGTCAAATCCCTGGCACTGGAGATGTAATTAACCTGGCCACCCAGGCCCAAACGAAGTTAGTAGACTGGTAACTACTAGTGCCTAGTCTTAGATTTAGCAAAATGGGTTTATAGATCAGACATAAACACTTTTGTGCGCCGTCCACCATATTGCTTTCAAGAAGCACATAGTTGGAAGAGCAAAGTAAAATTTGTGTTCAATTTTGAATATGGGGAGATATGAAACTGCTCAAGATGTGTGAGATGAAGTATGGAATGATTCCGGAGAGGAAAATGTTTCCAATAGTGACATCGATTTTAGTGATTTTGAGGAGAACTCTGGAGCAAATGAGGATGATGAAAGTGTCGACTCTCATGATTCAGAGGCTGAAGATTCCTTTGACAGTGAAAGATTTTTTGTTGTAGTTGCAGAAAATGTATACTTGTTGTATGTTACTTCTTAATGCCTGGGCGTTATTGGTACTTAAAACGGGTAGTGTCTAATTTTAAAAAAAGTTCGTTTTGTATTGGCACAGGACTTCTCAATGGGGTTGGCAGGGAAGGGGTTCAGAAACCGTTATCATACCACTAACCTAGGGTGGGATGAAAAGGGGCAGAAGTGCCTCCAAAGACAGCTAATGTGTAGGCAATATGAACAAACTAGTATGATTTTAACAGGAGAGCAGTAAATGTATTTTGCTCAAAGTTGAGGCAGCTCACAGGGTTGTCAAAAGTAGCCGACTGCTTGGTTAGTAACAGCCAGCTACTCTGCTTGGCATTTCTTTATGGATGGCGTTTTTTAAATAAAATATCTCTGGACTGGCTGCTTACTTTGACAACTCAGCCATCTACTTCAAAACTTTCTGACGACCCTGAGCTTACCATGTGAGAAGATTATGAAAGATATCAGGTTGTAAAATTTTATAAGTCACCCCCCAAAGACAAACCCCAACATGATCCTCCCCTGGCATGCAAATACCAACATCCTTGAGGACTGTCAAGTACTTGCTTGGTCAAGAGTGCAATATGTTTTCCATTGTTGGTGACTTTGACAGCAAATTGGTGAAAAATGATTTCTTTACTTAAATGAGATTTTTGGGAATGGCTGGCCTCCAAGTTTAATATCCTTGTTGAAACGATAGTTATGTACAGCTGAAGAAAATACTGTGTACAAGATCTGCCATTTTGCTTGCTTCAGTCCCACACTACTGGTCACCAGTTTAGCCCCATTTGATTAAATGCCTTGCTAAGATAATATGAATTGCTTGAACTTCTATCCATCCATAACAGAATTTAAATGTTGGGAAAAATGTTCACTGCAGAGCAGTGTCGTTTCCAAGTATAATGTAGGCATATCTTTTTGTATAATTTTAGTAATCACACTGTACAGTGTAGGGCTTAGGTAATTTCTTTGTTTTGTACTGCACAACACCTACTGCACACAACATTGCAATATAGAAGATGGTGGTAATTGTCATTGGTCACCTGAAGAGAGGTGAAAAGGCCTCTTTTGTAGTCTAAATGGTTTTAATAGAGGTTGGGATAACTCTTTGTGGCTGAAAAGGTGCTGGTCTTGAAACTCACCTCAGTTGTTTTGCCCAAAATGATCATTTGAAGCCAAAATTGCTACCTTGTTGTCTTTTTGCCATAAAGCAAGAATGGTGACCCCCTATTTTATTGGTGTTTTTAGTGGTTGTGGCTAGCTGTACACGAAAAGTATATTTTAAGGAGAGGAAAATCTGGATAGTAGAAGTTGCATTAATTACATTTGTAGATATGAATCACATGAAACTCCCTATTAATTTGGAGCCACAGAGGAGTAGGAGGTTATGTTAAAACTGTTCATTTTTCTTACATTTTTTTGCAAGATCGGCTAATATGAAGTCACTTTACTGAAAGCTAATAGTCTAGACAAACAAATGAGCTTAAGAATTTAGGAACATTCACAGTTTTTGCAAAATAACAGAAATCTTAGACAGTTGTTCAAGTTTCAAACATTTTGCACACAGCTACATGTAGGAAAAACCCAAAGAATTACAGACACACAAGGTGAAAACAAGCACCCATCTTTTCCTCACTTCTTTTGCATTATTTTATTCTCTTGTCTATGTACTAGGCTTCTTTTCAGTGCAAAAAGTTTCCTTAAAATGCCCAAAGATCATGAAATTATTTGATATGAAGTATGGGTGTGTTCTGGAACAAGATTTTTATTGGAATTGTTTAGTCAATTTTACATGGTTTTTGTGTTTTCTCTGGCCTGTTTGACTGAATCATAACCATGAATGCAGAAGGGTCAAAGTTATCTATGACTATGATGTTACAAGTGCTAAAAGAATGAGGAACCGTATGAATGATTTAGCAAGGTCTGACTCATTTTTGGACTGGCTTCTCAGACCACTCTGATAGTGGGGAAAAAAACAACAGACATGCGCATTTTTTTTGTACATTTCCATCTGGACTGCATTTTTGGAAAACCTGTCAGTTGGTCTTGTCAGACTTTAATCAAGCTGACTTCATTCAAGGAGACCTTACCAGTTTTGGAATGTGATGGTATTCTGTGTTACTCATGCTTATTTGTTTCTTCATATTAGGTAAGTCCTTTTTTTCTTGTTAAATGCAATTTTGTGTTTTATTGTTATTGTTATTATTTAATATTAACAGTTTGTTTCTATCTGTAATATTAATAAACAATCAATTCTTTAGTTTTTGAGACATAACGTTACAGAGTTGAAAACAACACAGTCAAACCTGTGTACAATGGTCACCCTTAGGAAATGGCAAGGTGACCGTTATATACAGGGTGGCCGCTATACAAAGGGCAACTTTGCAGAAAATATAAGACAACTGAAAATTTTGGGAAGTTGTCCGGTGACCATAATATACAGGGTGACCACTAACTACAGCGCCATTATATGTGTATACAGTTTTGACTGTACTTTTGTCACTGTCTTAATATGATAAGTGCTTACCTGCTTGTTATGATGAATTAGGCCCTGTCCACACGAATCCAGACATTTTAGAAGCTGCATATTTTTTCACCCAAAATTGTGTGGCTTAAACCATTCTGGAGAGCGGTGTCAAAATATGTGGTTTTAGTGAGCAGATTCAATGGTTTTGTGTGGATGAAAGGCCAGTTCGTGTAAAAAAAATGCAGTCTCAAAGATATCTGAATTCGTGTTGATGAGGTCTTAATGAATGTGGGGAAGAAGAAGACAAAGAAGATGCAAAACCGCTTATACTGTAACTTCTTTTGTCTGTGCACCCCTAGGTACAGAGTAACACTCTGGACAGTAACGTGGATTTGTTTAGTAACTACATTGGAGCTTGCCACAACCTGCAGACTCCTCCTGAGGGCCTTGTTGTTTATTTATTTATTTATTTATTTATTACAAATTCACTCCACTACATTACAAGCAAATAATGAAATGAAATAAGCTAACACTACTATAAGAAAAAAAAAAAGTTGTGGAGAAGGAGACAACTAAAAGCGCCAACGTGCCATACTAGGGATGCCCCCACTAATTAAAATATAAGAAAAATATATACAAAGAGAAATAAAAAATGTTCTAGTTATCCTTAATAAAGCTTAAAACATTTCTTTGAAAAGTTGCAATACTGTTTGATTCTCTTATATGATTGGTTAAACCATTCCATTCATCTACAACATGGTTAAAAAAACTATATTTAAAACCATCAGTTCTACTAAAATTTGGAACAAGGTACTTTTTGTCATTTTTCCTCAAGTTATTACCTGTATTTCTGTCCTTACAAAATATGAGCTTATTTGAAATGTCAATATCATAATGTCCATTAATTACACTAAAAAAAATGTAACCTCTCTAGTGAACCTGCTATTAGATAATGACAACAATTTTAGCTTAGATAGTCTAGTGTCATAATCATCATCAGACCTAGTGATCCATCTGGTAGCTCTTTGCCGAACAGCCTCCAATTTATCAATGTTACGTTTAGTACATGAGGGTTCCAAGTTTCTCATGAATATTCTAATAAAGGTCTCACAAGACTACAAGAAAGTGTGTTCATGGTATCAATATCCTTTAAGTCCCTACCATTCCTCTTAACCAACCCTAAAACCCTATTAGCCTTAGCAGTTATTTTATCTACGTGTTGGTTCCATGAAAAATTATTAGCAGTAAATAATCCCAAATCTTTATACACATTAACACTTTCCAAAGGTTGACCTTCAATATTATACTCCCCAAGTAAGGGTGACTTTTTCCTGGTTATTCGCATGATCTTACATTTCTTGGTATTAATTCTCATGTTATTCATTTTACACCAATCTGAAATTTTATCTATGTCACTTTGAAAAGTAGACAGATCTTCTTGAGTACTAATAACCCTATACATTTTACTGTCATCAGCATACAGAGCAATTGAACTGTCCTTACTAATTACCCCCGGTAAATCATTGATGTAGACTATGAAGAATAATGGTCCCAACAAAGAACCTTGTGAGACACCAGAGGTTACGGTTAACCAGTCAGAAGCCTCTCCTTTCACTATAACACGCTGTTGACGCTGTTTGAAAGGCAATGAATGCTAATCTGGGATTAAAAATTCACCAAGCTTTGGTTTCTCTATTTTGAAATTGTTTATCATGATTATAAAGTTGGTCAAAATTGAAAGTGTAGTGTACTGGGATAAAGTTCCTAAGAATGTATGTACACAAGGTAGTAAAGTTATTTATCTCTGAATAAATAGATCATTCTTCTGTCTGTTTCAAGGTTGTTAATGTGTTTAATTTGTGCCTTTGTACAGTATTAGAGGTAACAGAGTACATTTCAGATTCATTGTGGGCATTTAATCACCTTTCAAACAATCAGTCATCATAGGAGGAAATTTAGCTAACAATGCAGGAACTAATCGTACTTATCCTGAGAAGACAAGTCATCCAAATTAAAACAACATTTTCCTGTTACCAGTGTAGTGTAAAATGTGAGAAGCAATGCAATGTTTCTGCAGTAAATTAAAGCATAAGTATTAAAGTTATCTGTTTGTACATCAAGTTAACCTCTTGTGGTTTTAATCATAAAAGGGATTCATGAATGCAATGAAGTAGTTATCTTGGAGCTTGATAGAGTACATTATTTCCTGTTGAAACAGTAATAAAAACTAAGCAAATCTATACTGCAACCCTGTTGCATAAAATTTGTTGCAAACACACATGGCTGCTTAATTTGATTAGACTGAAAAATAGAATAAATCATTCGTTAAAAAATAGTTCAGAGCACCTTTACATCACAAAGACTCATGTTGAGTGGTATTTTGAATTGCAGAAGAATTTGATGAAGTTGACAGTCCACCTGGACCTGGGAGCCATGAGCTTGATCATTCATCAGGCGAGCATGATGATATCTTGAGGTACAAGATGAGTCGCTCACCCAGAGGAATAGCTGTCATCATAAATAACAAGAAGTTCCTTGAATCATCAGGGCAACATATGGCTCAGCGTGGAGGCACAGATATTGATCGTGATGCTTTGAACAAGCTTTTCAAGAAACTTCAGTTTAAGGTGGAAGTGCACAACAATCAGACCAAAGCTGAGATTTTGCGGATTGTAAGAGAGAAAGCAACTTCTGACCATTCACTTTATGATGCTTTTATTTTTGCTATCCTGACACATGGAGAGGAGGGTTTGGTGTATGGTATAGATGGTACTTTAAGGATAAGAGAAATTACCTCCAAGTTCAAGAATAACAAAACCCTGGCTGGCAAACCAAAGATCTTCTTTTTCCAAGCTTGTCAAGGTGAGGAGAAAGATGCTATTCACTGACCTTACTTTATTTCAAGTATAAAATTCTTCCTTTCCCCTTTCAATTTGTTCTCTCTGTAATGAGTCCCCTCTCCTTTAATTTAACTATATTTTTGTGGTGACAAATAGACAAACAGAATTCAGTTGTGAGTATCATTTAATAGGATATCATACACAGTACTCAAACACACAAATAGTTGTTCTTTTTTAATGACTATTAATAGATAATGTTACTCTCAGATTGTCAGATTGTCAGTCAACTGATTTTGTCAAGCTTACATTATTGTACCTGGACATTGTTACAGAGATTTAAAATAATTCTGGCAATGGGTAGTCCAAACTGTGGTTGTTGGTCATACTTATGGGGTACACAGTCATATAGCTGGGTTCCACCATATGAGGCTTGAAACCTCCTTATACTCAGCTTAGAGGATGATAATCATTTTTTATTGTCACACAAATAAAAGTCATTTTCCTAAGTGAGAGTTTTTGGAACTCGGAAATAGCCTATGAAATATACTCAGCATATATTTTGAAATTGTAGGTCAGGAATTCATGGATGGAATGGATGTCTTTGATGCCCCCCTGGAGCCTGATCCACAAGTTTCTGTACCTGTAGAGGCTGACTTCATCTTCGCTTACTCCACTGTGCCTGGCTATTACTCTTGGAGAAATAATACTGAAGGATCTTGGTTCATTCAGTCAGTAGTTGAGGTGTTTAATAAGTATTGCTATCATATGGATATCCTGCAAATGCTCACTAAAGTGAGTGCATTGGTATCCAATTACAAGTCACGAAACAATTTTGCATCTAACAAGAGGCAGGTGTCTTCTACAGTATCAATGCTGAGAAAAGACTTGTATTTCTTCCCTGAAAAGGTTACTGAGTCAAGCAATAATGCTGATGACACCTCAGAATGTAGAGTGACTTAAACTTTTTACTCCCAAGAGCACCAAATGTAAAATTTCCTTAAAAATCCCAAAATTTGTGAATCATTGAAGAACATCTTAAAGGAAAAAATACTGCTCGAGGTCAGAGCTGTCACTTAGATTTCAAGATACTGGGTACATGTATATGCCATTATTCGACTCAGAATTTAACAGCTAGAAATTTTTTGGGCTGGTTTATTTTATGTATGTTTCCTATGAAAGTAGCCAGGATGGTGCTGATAGAAGCCAGGGAGCATCCCCTGCCCCAGGCATTTAGTGACAGCCCTGTCAATGAAAGGTGGAAAAACATGTCAGGTCTGTTTGTTGTCTCTTGGATTGAAAGGATTCAATAATACAGTACCCAGGAGGTTTTGTGTTTTTTCTGCCAAATTAAACAAAACTAAGCAAAATGGCACATTAGACCTTAGTGTATAACAATCTTTTTCACCCTCAGCCAGTAATAGTAAAACATAGGGAAAAAACCCTTTATGTAATAAAACCTCATTATAGCAAACATTTATTACCCTTCATTATATCAAGAGTCCACTGATATTAGGTTAGTGGAAGCAAACAATAAATTCCAGCAAGAGTCATTTCAGCCAATCAGCAGGCAGTGGAAAACAATTAGATGCTGAAAGTTCAAAGTTCAGATTTCAGTACCTCAAGATTAAAAAGAATATCACGTTATTTTATGTTTTCACTTATAGATGTATTATCAAAGTTAGTCAAAAATATTACTACAAAATTCATTCATGTCCAAACAGTAGACCAGTTTAGGGATTGTGTGAAATTAGGTTGTGCCCTGGGTTATGCCTTTGGGAAAGTACTAATTGATTGGCTGAAGCACAGTCATTTCAGTCTAAAATCCTCAGGTCTTTTTTTATTCTCATTGGCTTAAATAAATTTTTCTGGAATTTATTGTTTAATCCCTTAAGATCACATTGTAACTGCTGTTATTGCATTGTGGGTGTGTGTCACCTGTACAATGAAAATTGGTGCTAAGTTTACTTTGCCAAGGAAATAATATTACACTGTTCTTGAATTTTGTATATAAGAGCAAAGTTGTGCTTACTTCACGCAAAGTATTAATAATATTTTGGCTACATTGTAGAATCTTGTGGTAATGTTTAACCTATTGAGGCTACTTTTTTACACTTTCAGCTATTAGGAAAAACCATTACTACAGTTCATTAAGTGTTTCATTAAAAGTTTTTGTGATTAATTTTGTGCACTTCATCTCACTTCATGTGAAGGAAATTTTTTTGTTACTTAATAGTTTTGGAATTAGAAAAATCTTGCAGTGTTATATTCAAGAATTCTTTATTTGAGAAATTCATTTCATAAAAGTAGCATTCTTCATGAATATCATCGTTTTTTTATCATTTTATATTTTTTTATTTTGTTGTTTTATCATTTTTAACGTACGTGTACTTTGAAACTCAGAAAACCTTGAATACCGTGAAACATTTCTGGGATACTATTGTGTTGCAAAGAAAAAGCCAATTAGGCCTGAGAAAGCAAAACTGTAAGCCACAGTGGTAATTAGTTTATGGTTTTGTGGCTGTGTGCGTGTTCTTTTCTTTGTTGTGATTGGTCACAACACAATAGAAATTCTCGAAATATTTCAGGTGTTTTGTTTTGCTAATTTTGATGAAAAAAATAATTAATGTTGAAAATACCTTAATGTGCAATTATTTATTTATGGGTATAAGAGAGTAAGGCGAGGAAACATAATGGAGTTAATTAGAGGACTTAGTTATGAAACAGTCTGATAAAATATTAATAATGTAGGATAGGCTTCTCAAATACCATAAAATGATTTTGAGACGGATCAGAATGGCAGATCCAGGGGAAGTTGGTGGGGGATCTTAGTCCTCTAGGCCCAGAGTGTTTCAATTCTATGAAACAAAGTACTTTTGAGCAGAAATTTGATACCACCAAGGGTCACCTACTACTTTCCTCTTACTTGTGGTTGCTTTGTACTACACCTGTCAAGAATGAAATTGCTACAAAATATTGTGTGTTGGCAAAGAAGAGAAAAAATAATTCAGACACCCCCCTCTCCCCTTCCCCCCTGGAAAAAATTCTGTGTGGATCCCGATTTACAGTAACAGGTTTCTGTTTACAGGAAACCTGCATGTCAAAGACCAATAACATTTAATGATTTTTAAAAGACATTGTTTAATGAGCAAGGAGTCGACCTCTGCCATATTGAGTAATATGAGTCAAGCCATTTTAGAGTGTTTAAACAGTTTATTTTTGAAGTTGTAATATTTGTAATGTCTCTATTTATTAAAATGATAATATTTGAAAATGATGTTCAATTGTCTTTTTTGGTAGATTAATACTTATCACAGTTGAACCTCTCCATAACGGCTACCTTGAGGACCGAAGAAAGTTGCCGTTGTACGATTGGTTTGAACAAGAGTCAGTGTATGGACTGTCTGCCAAAAAAGTGGCCGTTATTGGATGCTCGACTCTAATAAAACGAAAACTTAGGACAGAAAAATTAAGGACGTAAATTATGTTAACCGGGGACAAGTTTTCTGTTATTGTTTTCTGTTACCGTGCCTTGTAGCCTTTGCTTTTTGTTCCGGAAAACGAAGCAGAATGGTAACTAACCGCGTAAGCAGATATTTGAGAAGACTTAAGAAAAAGTATTATTCCACTTATGGGGCCTTCCTTCATTTGTTTTTTATTTTGAAAGTTTAAAGCATTTGAAGCGAGGAAACAATTGAAGCTCGTGAGTTTCCCTTCTCCTTTAACTGGCCTCAACGTAGGCTAGCTTTGTCACTGTCACTGAAAATGACTGAAAAATAATAATAAAGAAAAATAACATCGCCGGAAAAACATTATTCTCGTATTCTCAATAGACTTTAAATTCACCATCACATTTGTCTCGTTGGGTATGTGCCATCTATAGACATTCCAGCCCTAGAGGCATGCGAGAATTTTTTTCATATAAACCTAGTTTAATGGCAGTTAATAGCTCCACGAGTTTCCCGTAGCTCAGTTGGTAGAGCATCGGGACTAGTAACCAGAGGGTCATAGGTTCGACTCCTGTCAACAGATCTCAGAATTTTTCAGGTCCCTGGCGTAGCCTGTGTAGAGTGGAAAAGCGTCATTCTCTCGTTTTTTATTTATATATTTATATTTATGTTTTTTTCACAGAAAATAATGATCAAGCTGATGCCAAACTGTTCAACTTTGGTGGAGGGGGTTCAGCTGCCAAGTCTTCAGCGAACACCATTGACAACGACACAATTTACAAAATGAACAAGTCGACCAGAGGAATTGCTGTCATTATCAACAACAAAGACTTCCTTAGATCTTCGGGAATGGACCGCTACCCACGTAATGGCACCGATGTTGACCGCGATGCCTTGGCAAAGTTGTTCAGGGCTCTGAAGTTTGATGTTAGAATTTACAACAACCAGACCAGGGCTGAGATCAGAAGAATCACAAAAGAAATGGCAACAACTAATCACAGCCCTTATGATGCATTCATTTTCTCCATCTTGACACATGGTGAAGAAGGTGTGATTTATGGCACCGATGGTACCATGGCCATCAAGGATCTTACTGCAATCTTTAAAGATTGCGCTACTTTGGTTGGCAAGCCAAAGATGTTTTTCTTCCAAGCATGCCAGGGTAAGAAACATGTAATAGAGCGATTTTCGTATGACCTTGAAAAATGGTTTCGGTAAGTGTTCGTTATTTGTTTTATTAGCCAATCGATGAAAAGATCAAAACATGGACTCTTCGTTTTCCCGCCAAAGAGAACCCTAATACGGAGAACGCATTGTTCGATTGGCCAATCGTGTTGCAGTATGACGTCAAAGCGATTTCTAGAAAGTTCTTCGGGCATGAAGTTTTTTCAGCCGAGCTTTCGCTTAACCAACCAAAAGCGACGCGCGTTTGTATCCGTTCGACAAACCAATCAAATCGCTCTATTTCCCTTCGTTTGTTGTTTCTGTTTTGTTCGCAAGTTTTCATTTCAAGGTCGTACGAAAATCGCTCTAATATGATTTCCTTGTTTGGTGGGTTAGAGCTGCTGTTGCGACAAAATTGTCGTCTTAACGGTGTATTTTCAATTGATATTATGTTATAATATGGTTGCCACAGGTCAGGAAATGGTCAGGGAAAAAAATTTCTTCACGGTCAGGGAAAAGTCAGTAAAATTTCACTTCGAGTCAGGGAAAAGTTAAATGTTTGAAAGAACAAGGGAAAAGTGAAAATTTTAAGGGTACATTTTTATTCTTTTCCCTCTGCTTTTGCTGTTTTCTGACATTTAAAATTCTTTTGTACATTTTACAGACATGAATCGTGTTGTATTGGTAGAATATTGGTCGTGAAATTGAAGAATGGCTGTGAGGGGAGGGCATCAGGTCTAATATGTGAAATTGTTAATTCAGTTGGTCAGGGAAATTTTATATTTGTCAGGGAGAAGTTAGGGAATTTCCGAAACCTCTTTGTGGCTGTGGCAATCATGTATAATGTTACTAATTCTTTCTGAATAAGGGCAGAGACAAATTTTGACTATCAATCTATCTCACGCATAGCGCTTGAATGCTGATTTTCCCAAATTAACGATTTTCATGAAAAAAGTTTTTTTGTATGCCAGATTGAGTACTTTGCTTGTTCTTGCCAGGCAAGAGTTCGACTGGTCATATTGAAGAAGAACAATTTTGAAGAAAATAACAAATATAATCATTGTAGTTCTCAATATTTGTCAGCCAAGTGTATTATACTTGAGAAATATGATTACGTACGATTCTTCACCAAGTAGAAATTTTGGTAGTGCTACAGTCTTCTTTCGTCCCCGCAGTAGGGTTAACAAAAACTGTTTTCCTTACCATTTCAAGGGCACGAGTACATGGATGGGATGGATGTAACAGATGCCCCTCAACAGGGAAGCAAAGTGTCTGTGCCAGCGGAAGCCGACTTTGTCTATGCGTATTCCACAGTTCCAGGCTACTACTCCTGGAGAAATTCCGTGAATGGCTCATGGTTCATACAGTCACTGACAAAGGTATTTGAGGAGAATGCTGAACGCATGGATATCTTAAGAATGCTGACCAGAGTCAACGCTATGGTGTCAACGTACAAGTCGCGAACCGGTGAATATTACTCTGACAGCAAGCGACAGGTGTCTAGTGTTGTGTCAATGCTGCGTAAGGAACTGTATTTCTTTCCAGAGAATGTAACTGATCAGAGTTAAGAATCAAAGGCAGGCAGTGTGTGACTCTAGGTTAAAAAAGTTGTGTTATTGTGAAAATTTTTAGCCGTACTGAATGAGAATATCGAATATTATGTCGTTTTGAAACGCTTGTATCGCTCAGTCCATTTTGGAGTTCCAAAACTACTCGCTATGAAAACGAGGGCAAGTGCAAAACCTTTCATATGAAAACGAGTTTGATTTTAATGAGAATAGAAAAAGAATGTTAAGGCGACTCGCAAGTGCTCTAGTTTTTTCTCGTTTTCTTTTTAGGCTCAGACAACACTGAAAAGCAGGAAAAAAAAAAAGCTTTTATCTGACTCGATACTCAGAATGTTTTTTCCTAACCCTTCTTTGATCTTAGGCCCTTTAATAAGCTCTTCATTGGGTAGAAGAGTGGGAAGAAGTTTTCTATTTACCACCAGTATTTCGATGTTCATATAACAGCATTTCCGTGTACAAGAGTCTTGTATAAAGTTATCCATCTGCCTTTTGTATAGCCTGGGTAGCAAGCATTTTTTGGCGCGAACTCGCGCAGCAACGTTTGTTACGCAGCCCGGGTTACGCAGGTGAGCGTTTTATAGTTCTTATACTCTGCTTTTCTTTGTTCTATGTGTGGGGAACTGGGAACTAGGGGTTTTCATAGTCGGATTATTTTCAGTACAATAGACCTTATTCACGATATGCGATCTTCGAACGCGCTTAAGGACTGATGGGATAAAAGTAATGTCCGTGGTTTCTCAGGGTGCAAACAAATGATATATTCTGCCAATACAAGAAATCGCAGTCGAGTTTGGTTATTCTAGACAACCGAAAATGAAGAGATTACTATCTAAAGACGATAACAGAAAATTATGGGTGGAGGTGGTCTCTGCCACTTTTATCAGGGGCACCCAACGAGAATAGATGTCCCTACAGCAGTAATGACGTATAACTTGTCGGAACTTGAACTGTACATTGGCAAGTCTAAAATCGTCGTCTCGTTTTGAGAGAATATACAAACTCAACCGCGATTGCTCGTATTGGCAAATTTTATCAGTTGTTTGCCCACTTGAATACCACGTGACACTGCTTTTATCCCAACATTCCTAACGCGCGGGCAAAGATGGCGGTGGGTATCGTGAATAAGGTCTTTTCAAGGTTGTCTGGTCTAGTGAAATATACAGGTGTATAATAGCCTAGCTGAAGGAATTTAATACTACAGAGAGTTAATTTAATAGCAGACTGTGAAGTTGGCAATTACCCCAGCTCAGGTTTCTTGCCATTATGCCAAAATTATCGGAAATTTCGGTGGCGAAATAAATGGAACCGTTCGGTATCTCCAGAGGTGGTCTTCTTTGACGGGTCTGTCTGGTCTGACCGAAACGTGCTGTTCGTTTTCCAAAAATTCTCATTTTCAGCCCTACTTTGCTAAGCAGTAATCAAAATTCTGGTCAAAACGCAAATGGATCGCTTTGATTCGATTCGAACTTTGTTTCAAACGAAGGGTGTCGTTGCCTTTTCTCTCGATAATTCCACCAGTTTTTGACTGTTTGGTTTAGCAAAATGGAAAGCACACTTAGAGTCGGTGACTATTTTGCTAGGTATATTGCTCCGCCGAAAAGAATGTCTGTGTTGTTAGGTAGGATATTAATTGTTCTAAAAGCTCAGAATATCAACAAGAGAGGATAAACTGGAGAACATAGAGTAAGTCCAAGAGCGCTGGCTGGGACCCGCACTATGGGGAAGTCGGTTTCCCTAGGAGTTCGCATGCGTTGAATTGTCGTTGTGATGGTTGTTGGACCAAAAATTCTGTGAAGCAACATAGGACAGCCGTAAAAAGGCTGATTATAATTGTTCAGTATGCTCAGGCATTCTCCTGTCATTGGTGAGGTTGCGGTTAAAAATATCGAAGGTTCTCTATAGCTTTGAAAAATAATTATCACAGACTTAAAGCGTTTTAAGTTTGAATTGCTGTAAGTACTGTCCCTCACGTCTCATTAAGTAAAAGTTGAAATTTTATGAACAGGGCCCAGGGACCGATGTATGTACTTTTTATCCTCTCTTAACATTAATCATCATGTCGGCGTGCGATGTAAAAAGTCGATGCAGTTAAAGAGGTTATGTCCAATCATGGTGTCTTCCACAGTTTTCGATCAAATGTACTAGCCGAAAATATAACGAGATGTTCTCGGCTCTCTTTTCTCATTCTTGGAACTCTAACTGAAATTTATCAAATGATTCGAATAAAGGGAAAGAAAGTATGGTCATTTTTTTGAGATTTTTCGACAGCAGAGGAGTTAAACTTGTAAAAGCTGGCTCAGTCTTTTCAAGCAGCCTTTCTGGCCATCGAAAGGCGAAGACTTTCAGTTAGAGTACTGATGTAGACCCATTATTTCAGAGTTTTCTTTGATTCCGATGTGTTTTCAGGGTTTCCAAATAATACCGAAACATCGCGGTGACATAGCTCCTTTAATGCTTGCAAAATATGCAGAATAATTCCTGATATACATATGCAGCCTTTTCGTTTAGTATACGACAGTATAATCATAATAGAGAACAGAACGGCTTGAATACAAAAGTATTTTGCATAAAGTTAAAGGACTGAACGGCTAGTTCTTATTGATTTTTCTAATTAATAGCTTCTGTGTATTGTTATGTGTTGTCAGACTTTTCATTAAATTCGTATAAAACACAACTGAACCTGTGAATGTACTACATCTAAAGTGTTTTGACGATTCAGTGTAACAAGCATATCTGAACAGGACGAGAAAAACTAGATTCCTTGCTGACCATGCAGGGAAACCGTTCGTTTCTATACGAAGTCATTTCAATATAAGTCGTTTCGATACGAGCTCAAGTAAAAAAACTGTACAAGAAGTTCTTCGATTTCTTAAAGTATAGTTTGCTCATGAACAAGAAAAACATTTGCGGTGAATATTCCTCGTTCTTTCAGCCAAGTACGTGAAACTTCATACATCTCGACTGAATCAACTTATATCAAAACGACCGGTAACCTCATGCAGCTACCTTTAAGTTTTAGCGTGGTCCATATTGAGATGTACACAATATGAGGTCGAAAAAATTCAATGGAGGAAAAAATCTTGTGCAGTAGTATCTGTAAAAATTTTTCCAAGACATTGAGGTGGATGAAATTTCCCTTTCTTAAACGGTCGCTGCCAATTTAAAGACACAGAGAAAATTTCGCAACCCAGGGTAGAATCCGGACCTTTCATGGTTGGTGGCTTTTGATCCAAAGCATTGCTGACATTATTAGGGGAGGAGGGAACTAAGCAATATCTGTGTGATTAAAAATGTTAGATTGCGTCCCGAGGCCATCAGTGAGACCAACATCGGTAATTTACACCCTTAGCTAGGCGACGTCAGCTTTACCATCTCTTTCATGTTAGAGTTCCCCAAGTGTCGTGTTTATCTCGTACCTTAGAAAAAAAGAGGGATAAAGCTCTCGGAACGAGATTAGCCCTGGCGCCGTTTTTATCACTAAAATAGTGATTGTTACTCCATTCTTACGTCGAGAAGTTGAGAGAAAAAGCATGTTTAAAGAAAGATCAAATGGTAACACGTATTTGCCGGTTAATTGCAACACCAGCTTAAACGGGGGAGAAAAAAATTGGAACAGATACAAGATGAAAGTTATATTTGAGAGGTTCAAAAATCAAGCAAACAGAAAATGATGATAATTCACGGCTATTTATTCCTAGCCTGTTCACAGACGTTTTCCTTTATTTTGATAAGTCCCCCCATAGTTAGTTATGGCCCCCCTTTTTTTTACATACGGGAACTCCACGATCGCTAAAGGCGAGGGAAAATAGTCAGACTGAATAGAGCTAGGGTCTGTTAACAGGCTAATATATATATTCCACGAGGCTCCAGTGTCATACCGTAAAATTCCGAAAGTAAGCCCTGGGGCTTAGATTTTTCAAAGGCCCTTTTTGAGGGGAAAACTGCCATGCTAACTGATGCTACAGGCAGGCTAAGTTGGAAGGAAATTTATGTCACTAATGTGCAGCAAGTTTTTTCTGAAACTCGCCTTGAGGACGTAGATCTTTCTAAAACTCAGCCATGCAAGTACTTTGTTTATGTGGACAGAGGAAATCCAAGCCAAGATTGAAGAGTGAACTACGCAAACAGTATTGAATATGCTGTGACACTTTTTGACTGCAATCATTTGGCACACGTAATAGTTCTTTGGCAAATGCAAAATATTTTGTGTTACTGTACGTTGTCTTATTTTGAATTTGAGGGCAATTTCCAACTCCAAGCCTCGGGGGCTTATATTTGGACGGGCGATTTATCAGAGGTTTTTTTGCGTTACGAGTTTGGGGGGGGGGGGGGGGTTATTTTGGGAGGGGTTTTTAAAAGGGAGGGGTTTTTTTTGGGGTTTTTCGGGGGTTTTTTTTTGGACAACCCCGCGTGCCCCTTACTTTTTTCAAAATTTTTTTTAAATATTTTTTTTTTTTTTTCTTTTTGTTTTTTTTTTTTTTATGGTTGGCTCGTTCCCCCCCGGCTGGGTGTGTGTTTTTGTTGTGGGGGGGGGTTTTTTTTTTTTTTTTTTGGGGTGTGGGGGGGGGGGGGGGGGGGGGGTTATATTTGGAAGGGCTTTATACATGGAAGGGCTTATTTTCGGGATTTCACGGCAGTTCTCTTTCAGCAAGCCTCGCGTACCCTTAACTTTCTCTAAATATTTTTTCTTTCAATCTTCTTGCCGTAAGGTTCAGTTAAATGTTTTTTCACTTGGTATTCGAGACCTTTACTGAGCCCGGTCAGGTCCCTGACAAGATTCGGAGCCCTGCCTGCCCGAAGAGGGGGGTGGAGGGGGGTACTTCCTAGTAGTAGGCTAATGGGTATGTGCCGCTGGATGGGGTCGTATTTGCACGCCTGGCGTCAGAAAATTCAGGTATGTAGGGATTTAAAAATAGAAAGATTTACACTACATTAAGTTTAACAAATGTGTCAGTTCATTTCAGGATGACCAAGTTAAAATGCTTTATTTATAAGGTAGATACATAAACAGAAAGTGACTAAGTTGGGATTGCGAAAATTACTTTTTTCGCGAAGTGATTAAGATGGGGTGAGGGTCTATAATATGGCCACAGAATAGACTCTCTTGATAGACTATAATGGTCCCATGCAGCTGCACATATCCAGCAAAAATTTACCCAAGTACAGTAGTCAATTAAATTTTGACGACATAACACAGAAAAGACTTTTGAATCCGACTTTGAAAAAAAAAAAAAATTGCTAAATGGAAGCTAATGAAAGGAACATGCCGCAAACACAGTGACGATGCAGTCCCGACAAGCACTGCTCACCTTTGTTCGTACCACGTGGTTTTCTGACAGCGTTCGTCGCGCCATTTTCTTTGAAGACTTTCTTCTGGTTCGCGAAAGATTCTTCGCTGACCAGTTGGAAATATTTCTCGACTCATTCAACGAATATTATGACAAGTCTTGACATTCAGAGCTCTGAGGTAAGTCTAGACAATATTCCATTCGCTTCTTTGTTTATTCAAGGCGTAGCCGTAGATGCAAACGAGAAAAACACGAACAGCATCCATCACGAAATAGCAGATGGCCAGATTTTTCGGAATGAGCAACCACAGTTTGATTTGATAACGTAGTTTTCAATCTTGTAAAGACAACTACGAAGGTTTCTGAAGCAGTTCCATGTTTGGACGAAGGAGGTTTTAATTTGCCACGAACCACCTAATAGAGCAATACCACACGATCGGTCAAGCGCTGCTTTCTCTGTAGCGTATATTGGAAAAATAAGGAACGTTTAAAGTGAATTACGACGTACGTACCAAAAGTTTAAATTCACTGTTGAGCCAAACGATCGAGCCACCGCCGCCAGATTGCAGACTTGCAGACTACACAAGACCGAAGGTTGGGCTTTTATAATATCGTGCAAATGTAAGACTTGAAGTACTGTATTTCTCGTTCTTTTAGGCCCAGTTCAATCAAACGTCGAACCTTATGTTAGATGTGGCTAACCTAATCACTTTTTTTGGTCGATTAGACTTTTGATTCAGACAATCGAACTTTGCATATGCTAAACTATTTCGTGGCCTGAACAAAACCATATTTATTACTTGAAACAGGGAAATAAACTCATGAAAGTAGTGCACCATCCAATGTAAAACCCGCGAGGGTTGGGGGGGGGGGTAGGTCTAGAGGGTGTTCATCTTAGTTCATGGGTCTTTATTTTAGTCCATCAGTCTTAAGTCTTAGCTCTTTGTTTAGGCCTTTCCCAATTGCGCTGAGCACCTTTTGAGCACTTTTTTGAGTTTGGAGCACTATTTCGCATTTTGAGCACCCTTAAGCACTTTTTCTCACTTTGGGCAATATTTGAGCAATATTTCACATTTCGAGCAAATTTCGAGCAACATATGTCTTCTAAAACATTTGAAAGCAAAAACTGTGTGTCGCTCGCAACGAGAATCGTGTTCCAGGTCATAAATTTGAATAACTAATGATGTTGTCAAGAATAAAAGACCATTGTCATGGAAAGGCACGTGGACTTATCCTTACTGAGCGTGAGAACAGAAGTTTCTGATTGGCTGATGTATCATGCGTATCATGCGTGATGTATCATCTCAAATTTCTAGTGCTTTGCACTAGTACTGCTGAATTTATTTACAATTCGTAATCGGCTTTAGTTTTTTAAAAATATTATTGTTCTATATTCTATCAACCTTTCGTAACAACCTGTCGAATAACAGTACACAAAATAGATTGTTAATTTCTTTAGTAAAAATTGACATATTTACGAAAAGCTTAGAGGTAACTGTTCACAACTTTTGGCACTTTTTGAGCACTATTTCGAGATTTTGAGCACTTTTCGAGCACTTTTTAGCCATTTTTGCCAGCACTTTTTTAGGATTTT